ACTCGTGGGGTCAATACAGGCTGGGGGATGAAGGGATTGAGAGCAGCCCTGCCGAGAAGGACTTGGGGGTACTGGTGCGTGAAAAGCTGGACATGAGTCACCAGTGTGCACTTGCAGCCGTGAAAGCCAACCATATCCAGGGCTGCATCAAAAGCAGTGTGGCCAGTAGGTCAAGGGAGGTGATTCTGCCACTCTACTCTGCTCTGGTGAGACCCCACCTGGAGTCTTGCGTCCAGCTCTGGAGCCCCCAGTACAAGAAGGACATGGAAGTGTTAGAGAAGGTCCGGAGGAGGCCACAAAAATGATCCAAGGGCTGGAGCACCTCTCCTACGAGGACAGCTGAGAGAGTTGGGGCTGTTCAGCCTGGAGAAGAGAAGGCTGCGGGGAGACCTTATTGTGGCCTTTCAGTACTGAAAGGGGGCCTGTAGGAAAGACGGAGACAATCTTTCTAGCGAGGCCTGTTGTGACAGGACAAGGAGTTTTGTTGTGACAGGACAAGGAGTTTTAAACTAAAGGAGGATAGATTTAGACTGGCTATAAGGAAGAAATTCTTTACAGTGAAGGTGGTGAAACACTGGCACAGGTTGCCCAGAGAGGTGGTCAATGCCCCATCCCTGGAAACATTCAAGGCCAGGCTGGACGGGGCTCTGAGCAACCTGATCGAGTTGAAGATGTCCCTGCTCACTGCAGGGGGTTGGGCTAGATGGCCTCTAAATGTCGTTTCCACCCCAAAGCATTCTATGATTCTATGATTAAAATACATGGCTGTGAAAACAAAGATTTTACAGCTCTTCTTCTGTTTATTCTCCCTAATTTTCCACAAGTTTCTCATGTTCAAACCAGTGCTCCACATTGTTGGCCCCAGTCCCCTTTCCCACTAGTGCTCTCAGATGTTCCTTATTGTCTCTTTCTATTCTAAATTATATGCAGATTGCCACAGGTGCTTCTAGCATCCTTGATGACAGGGATTATCAACAAATACCAAAGTGGATTAGCAAAGGTTAACAATTAACTGCGCACAGAAACAGATGGAGAGAGCTGGTAGCAGGATAACTGCCCTGCTCTGTGAATGGTGTATGGACAGATGCGTGAGATTTTGCAGCTAAACTATACAGTGAAGAAGTTATCAGTGTAGGAGGTACATTTCATTCAACACTTGTGGAAATAGTCCGGTGGCAGGAAGATGAAGAGTCTGCCATATATTTTGGTGTTACCTAGAATTTGTAGATATTTGTGGATTCTTTTTGCTTTATGTTTTAGTTTCTTAGATGATGCGTGTAAATGTGTATGTAGGTTTAATCCTTGGAGATGGCCATTATTCTTGCTCCTCTCCTCCCTCCCGCAAACCAACATCAATGAAAATGATCAATTCTAATGAAAGACCTCAACTTCCATGCACTAATTTTAGATAACACCTCAGATATACCGGCAAGCTGGATTCCCATAGGTCCACCGTGCATATTAACGTTGTGATAAAGCCCATCTTTATTGTATCTGGACACTGTGTTTTTGTGCTATAAGAACTCTGACAGCAACAAAGCCCTGTTTAACACTCAGGAATCTGATCTCCGTTATCCAGTCGGACTGTTCCTTTGGGTTGTGCCTGAAGTTTTATTGCAATTATTTGGACCTAAATTAGAGATCAGAATGGAGAGGAGAATTTAAGAAGGAAGCAGGGGCAAAGAAAGATTACTGCTTTTATTTATGACAGAAGGCATTTTAGTGTGTGCTCAGACAGGAAGAGGAACAATTTTAAATCCAGCCTTTCAAGATGTAGCTTTCCATGCTATTTTAAATTTGGATCATACTTCAGTGTACTGCTACAGCAGTCCGTCAGCCACTTTTAAAAGAACAGTAAATTGCCACATCACATTCTGACTATGTAGAGGAGGAAGCTGTTCTGATGCTCCATCTCAGTCCTACAACAAGCTAACAAGCCAGGGCACAAACTCACTTTCAGCTGCAGACTTGTTACAGTCCCTTTTCCTATGCCCCACAGCAGATTGTTGTGAGGTGGAGGCTAGTGTGCCCAAGCACAGGATCTCACTCACCTATTCTCCACCAGTGAGATAATGAATTTGTGGGACAGAAAATATCCCAAAACATTTTACCTTTTGGACTATGGGCCAAATTTTTCTTGATTTCCCTGGTGTGAGTCAGAAATGGCTCAGTTACAACAGTGTAAATTGGATAAGCCCTGTCGGCCTCAGTGGCATGGCTGAATTTGGCCCACCGCTTTACAACTGTGTTATTAAAATACTCAATCTCCTGGCTGCAAGGAATAATATATAAAAAAATAAAATTCACATATGTTGGGATGTGCTCTGGATAGCATTGTTGTAACAGGGTAGAATATCAGACTTAATCTTGTTTTGTACTATGGTGCTGACAACATATGTGTGGCAGCACTGGAGAAAAAAGCAGCCTCTTCTTTATTCACCGTGCGTTTTGCAGCACACCAAGGCATCTGGGCAAGGAGACTCTCAGAACCATGGCAGGGCTGGAAAAAATTGCCTGAAATGAGGTGTAAAGACGAATAAAGAATTATTTCCTTGTTTTAGCTTGAAGAAGAAAGGGATTTTTTTCAAAATGCAGGAAGATAAATTAGAAAGATTTGCATCTGATGTGAACAGTTCCAAGTATCTCCAATTAACCAAAAAAATCCATCAAAATTTATGATGAATGATACGTCTGCTTGGTCCTGTTCTCATTACACATACATCTGAAGTGGAACCAATGCCATTTATGAATAATTTAATTAAAATGATGACAAGTCTTATTTTTGTAGCATACAAAACTGTAAACATTGATTTAATAAGGCTGAGAGTCATGAAATGCAATCTTAATTACTAGAAACTAGAATAATCAGCTGAACTGAGGCAGACAAGACAATTAACTCTTTAGAAAGGAGTTTACAGCTGCTAGGGTGGAACTAACATGCTAAAAGAGTTAGCATATTCATTACTTTGAAGTGCACAATGTTTTGGAATAAACCATAAAACCAACATAAGATCTCTTCATTCTGCATGTCTTTTGAATCTACAGCCCTTAGAATTTCTCCCAGTATTTGATGTTTCTGTTATTTGCCAGCCCCAGGGCCTGGTAATAAATCTCCACGCCAGGTCTCCTTCACAGTGGTGGCTAAGCTGTCGTCAGGTGGACGTACAGACTAGGTGCCACCTCCGGATCATTGCAGGCATTTGTGTCCTGTTATCTGTCTCCTATCTATAACTATCAAGATTTGCTTAATAATGAGTAAAGTTTCTTGCATCTTGCCCTCTCCTGGGAGGCACTTCACTCGCCTGCCAGGTAGAAACTTTCTTCTGATTTCCCATCTGTCCCCTACTTGTAGTTGGGGACATTTTTTGTAGCGTCTTCTCTGCTCGGGTTTTTACCCCTCGCCCTGATGTATTTAAAGAAAACAAGCATACTCTTTGTACTACCAGGGGAAGCAAAGAAGTTGTTCGAGCCTCCTCTTGTAAGATGGACTCACCCCTCCCCTCATTATTATTTCTAGTTTGATTTCAGCTTTCCTTCATATGGGTACCAAAATTGTGCAAAGCTTTCTGCTGGCTGTAGGGAAGAATGCTTTTCAAACCAGGTCACCCTCTGCAAGGGGGATGTTTTAGTTCAAGTTCAAGTCAAAAGCATCAGAAAGCTGGGAGTTATCACCCTGAGGATAAAATATATGGAGCTTTTAAACCATAAACGCTGTGCTTGACAGCATCTCTGTTACTTGCATCAGGCCAGAATGGCACCGTCTGCTCTGCGAGTGGCTCAGCTTTCTTCTCAGCGTGTTCATTGCTCTGCTCGCCAGCCCCCGTGCCCGCTCCTGGCTCGTACGAACTGAGGAGAGGGAGAGCGGAGCTGTCGGCTGGGGCTTCGGGTTTGTCTTCCGCAGTCACCAGAGGCTCACCCCCCCCAGCCGCCCTGCCCTGCACGCCAAGGGCCGAGCCTTTCCCAGCTCTGTGGTTCCGGAAGCTTCAACAGAATTACAAAACAGGCAAAAGCGTGATTTCGAGGGGCGAGTGTTCTGATCCCAAATTACAGATGCGATAGACAAGTTTAGATGGCATTTACACTGGCTGAATAAAGGGGTGGCTGAACCTTTGCCAGAGCGCTTTCAGAGCTCCGGTGTTGGACTGCGGAGCCGTCCCGACGGCCGGGTGGGG